TAAGATCACCAGTGAGAGTTTCAAATTTTAATTCATTCTCTGTTTCATAATGACGTTTAACATTATACTCTTTTACAGATAAAATGGTGTTTTGGCAAATTAAACATAACAGTTTACCTTTATTTTCGATAAAAAAATATAAATCCATCCTTGATTCGTTGAATGTACGATGTTCATCATTAATTTTACGTTTTTTGATATTAAATTGATAGGTTATTATAAAACAGTTGAAATTTAAACTTTACGTTTGAATGTTTTGAAACGAACTGCACTAAGGCCATAACCAGATACGTATTTGTCGTAATCGACGATACATACATGATATGCGATTAGATTACGTTTTCGATCATAGCTTATCTGGCATTGTTATACAATAGTTGTGATTAAATATTATTTATAACTAGGGCTCGGAATTCAATGCATTTGTATCTTTTTTTTTTGGGATGTCTTACGCGTAGTTTTCCAAGCTACACATTTGTTTCAGGTACTCCGTGTTCTACCCAGAAACATTTTTTGGGACATTTTTTTTTGCATTTTTTGACGTCTTCAATGCATTTTTCTATATTTTAGGACATTTTTGACCTATTTCTCGTATTATGACAATTTAGGCATTTTAATTTTTAAGTTATAAAATATATTTGGAGGGTCGCAGCAAAAAATTCCGAAGGCCGCATCCAGCTCGTGGGCCGCGGATTGCCAGTGCCTGTACTATAGGATTAGGCATTGGACAGTAGTGCGATAATTTATCAGTTATTTATTTAAATATATTCATAAGCAAAATGATAATTAACGTAGTTTTTTGTTCCAATCGTATGGTACTTTGAGGCTATCTTGTCACACACATTTAATTAATCCCAGCTTTTGGTAGTTTATTCCGCTACATTACCGTAGTGACTATGATCTATGGTTTTCCATAATTGACTACGACAAAATGTAATCTATTAGTACGACGTATGTCTTTATATGAAAATTTATTACACTAGAAAATGCCTACTGATACAATACATCAGGGGCGGACTGGGACCCAATCGGCCCACTGTTCTGCAAAAAAAAAATCGGCCCCTACCGTACATAAAACCAAGATTTCAAAAAATTTTTACCTCTTCATATTTTTTTAGTTTTTAAATTTATCAATTAAATAAGTATGTTTTTATATTTGGATATTGTAATTTAAGTTTAATTTTCTTTAAAATATAATATATATATATTGTAAAATGAAAATTTTTTTTTTACTGATTTTCCCAAAAATAATTTATCATAAGAGTTTTTAAATCACTGTTTAATAATATGTATTTAAACTTTGTTTATAGAAATAAAAAAAAATTACTTCTAGACAAATTAACAAATTTTATTTAACTTAACTGTTCATACTTTAAATACATCTGTAGCATCTATAATAAATAGTACAAAATATAAATGTACAATAGTAAAATAACTATTTATTAACGACTAACATTTACACATAATTTATAACAGATATTATAATATTTAAAATAAATAATATTATATGGTTACACTTTGGTTTTTACAACGATAACATCTGGTTCATCAATGATGAAGAATTTTTTAGTATATTTAGTATTTCTTTGAAGTCAATAGCATCTAATATATCTTTTTCTATTGACATAAGCATGAATGCTTCAAGATGGTCTTGATTTAATGAAGAGCGTAAACGATTTTTAATTATTTTAAGCTTACTGAATGCTCTTTCACAATTAACCTGTGTAACAGAGAGTGTTAAAACAAATTCAACTGCAGCATAAAAATTACAATATGCAGGTGAATGCATATTTAATTGGTAATTAATTTTTGTAGACATATTAAGCATGATTTTGTATTATGATTATTATTGGAAGTTTTTGATTTTTCACACCCTATAAAAAAGACAAACATATTTTTTACTAAACATATATAACTAAAATATAAAAACAGTATATATTGATATATTTTACCTTTAACTTCTAAATTCATTTCATCATTTTTATCCCAGTCTAGAAAAAATTCTTCATTATCTTGAAACATATCATCATCATCATCATTATACATTTTTGAAGTATTTGAATTCAGAGGCTTTGCAATGTTATCATATATTTTTGAGAAATGGTTCAATTCAGACACTAATTTCTGATGGTTTATTGATGATAATTTTGATAAAATTTTTAATGCTGATTCTGGTAGACTGTTATCCTTTGCATATTGAAAATTTTTTGGTAATAAATACTGAATATCTGCTATAATTTCTCTATTGCTTGAAAATCTTTGAATAAAACTGCTTCTCAATTGATCAATAGTGCATTGAAAAACTTCTACTCTAAACTTATCAATAGGATTTATAATATGTTCATCTGAACACATTTCATCATAATTGCGCTTCTTATGTCTAGAACGTATTAATGGTAATTTATCTTCCACAACTATACTATCATTCAATTCAAAATTTGTAAATTTATCATTCATATTTTGTGAGAATTTCTCTGCTTCAACGACAATTGTATCAAAATTTATTTTTCCAATTTCATCAATTGTATTTTCTACCATTAACCAACCAGCCAAAATATCTAAATTACTGGACTGCAAATATGATGATGTTGGTCCGGCTGAATCAAAAACTTTAATAAATAAATGGGCTGTTAAAATAACTTGGAATTCACACAATTTATTTTTTAATGAAGTTGCTTCATATATGGATTTTTGATCAAATTTTTTTGACGAACAAATAAAATCTAAAGCACTGACAATAGTTGGGTATAAGCAATCTTCTCCGTCGAAAACCCATTTAAGTGCTTTTTCTCTGGACCACCACCTTGTTTCCCCGATTTTTTGTAGCTTTCTAAGTTTTTTTACTCCAACACCTAAATTTTCTTGATTTTTCTTCCAAATGTCCATTCGTTTATAAGAATCAGAAAAGAATGTACTCAAGCGATTCAAGAACCCAAATAAATTCTTGGCTGCTAAATTGTCACAGGTATCACAAATACACAAATTTAGAATATGGGCATAGCACCAAACATAAATACTGTTTTCGTTTTGTTGCTTAATAAAAGACTGCAAACCGTTAAACTCTCCTCTCATGTTAGAAGCACCGTCAAAAGATTCACCAATGACATTTTTAAAATTTATATTATGTTTGTCAAAGCAAGTTTTTAATAGTTCATATAAACTTTTACCTGCTGAATCTTCTACTTTAATGACGGCAAAAAGGCGCTCTTTAATATCTGTATTATTTAAGTAGCGAAGGCAGATAGTGGCTTGGTCCGTAGCTCCAATATCTTGAGTACTGTCAAACTAAAATAGTAAAAACAATGAATTTTTAATTAAAAATAAGAAATATGTTGATTTAAAATTGTCATACTTGTATACTAAAATGCTGATCACCCATTTCTTCACGAATATGTTTCCTCATAGTTTCTAGTATACCTTCAATTACTTTATTAACAGTAGTTTTGGATACAAGTGTAACTAATGATCCTCTTCCCTTAGAATTTTTTTGCCGTTGATCCATATTTAATTTTCGTTTTTTACTTGACAATATAGCATTGTCTAAATATTGTCTTAAAATTGCATCTCTTTCAGCAGTAAATTTCAAAAGCTCCAAAAAATTACCTCTATTGATATTAACATCATTCATCTTGTACAGCCCTTCTGTGTCACCAGTTCCACGATAAGGCAAATTTTGCTTACCCAAAAATTTTATTATTTCAAATACTTGTTTTAATACATGAATTCTTTCTTCGACTTGTTTTTTTTTTTCATATTCATCACATTACGGTTGATCAAATATTCAATACTATCATTACTTGAAGCTTTGACATAACTTTCAACAGCACAAATATGTACTTTGCTAATTTCATGAGATTCTACAGCTGCATAAATATTTCTGAAATTTGTGCAGCCAGTAGAAAAATTGGTTGATGATGTAGAGAAAGCAATACAAGGCTTTAACCTCATTATTTTTAACACATTGTAATGTCAACCATTTTCGCAAAATGGGTTTACCTCTCTGATCTTCTCTATTATAAAGTTTGAAAAGAGACCATGAAACATTATGCAGTACAGTTGGTTGACAAGGATGTTGTTTCATAAAATCCATTTTTTTGATTAATAGAACTTTTTTTGGGAATCACAAATGAATATATTTTTTCTGCAGCAATATGTTCCTCAACCTCAGGTAACGAAAACGAACAGGATACACTACTTTGCTCGGTTTGATTTTTAGCAGTTGAATACATCTGAACAATCATAATAAATGTTTAATATTAAAATAGGTAGTAAAAACATTAACTAATTAATAATAATTTATACACAACATAATAAGTATAAGGTAGATCTTACCGAACTAGATTACAAGAATACCTATCTAGTAATATATCATTAAAAAAAGTTTACTCACCGAAGGATTGTTTTCTACAGTTTTAACTGAGCAACTTTGTTGTTTTTGTTGTGTTGAACAATCATCTAAATATTTAGAATACAAATAATATTAAAAAGTAATCACATATTTACATACCAATTATATTAAAAGAAAAATGAATCCAGTTAACCCGTTAAACATTTTAATTTACAGATTAGTAAATATAGATTATTAGATATTATTTAATCTGCAATTCAATTAAATATTATATTTAAATATTATTAATTCAATATTAAAATCTTTGATGTAATGTATAACAAACGTAATTAATGAATCAGTACCTTGAAATAAGAATCTATAGTATACTAAATTCTTTATACTTACCTACGAATACTTTGTTAGAGCGATCCAATCCAAATTCAATTTTTTTTTGTTTTGGGTCATTGGCAACAGCTTTGAAATTGATCATTTTTTTTAAACGAAGCTTTTCAGCTCCACCTTTTAGTTTTTTTTTCATCATTTTATGTTTTAAATTATAGCAATGCGATGTGCGAGTACACGACGCAATCAAAATTATGGGAATAAGAAATCAATTCGTATTGTGCATTCATACTATCATAGTGATAGTGTCTACTGTCTAGGCTATTATAGACTCAATACTGTAATAACTATAAACTATTTTAAGAATATGTTTTCCGGTATTCCCCAGCGGCGGTCGACCGCTGATAGCGCAGCGATTTATCATATATATATATATATATATAATATAATATATACATTGACTAGCGTATTAGTATACCATTTATTAAATATACATATACTATTATTTATTCGTATATTTTATCAATGGTAATACTCGGGGAATCAAAATTGTATACAAATAAACAAATTCAATTATCTGTTTCAAAAATATTTTTAATTCAATACACGTTGGGTTATTTCGCACCGGCCCACTGTGCAAATGCACAGTAGCACAGTGGCCCAGTCCGCCCCTGCAATACATTATATTATTATAAGTGACTGTTAGTAATCTCATATATTACTGAATAAGGAAAACCATTTGAATCTGATGTACATGTATTTTGTTTCTCTGTCGATTTCAGTATAATTCAATAATAAT